CGCTGCGCGCTGCCCGCGGGTGGGTACCGCGCGGCCCGGGCCTGCGGGGAGGCCGGGCGGCAGCGAGCAGCGCCTCGCACAAGTGGGCTGCCCTGGAGCCAGCCCCTCTCCCACGGCGGTATCCTCGTAACTCGCCCCTTGGAATCGGGGTCTTATATAGAGCTTACAGCCAGACAGCTGCTGTAATTCGTGGTTTATTGAAAGTGCTTCTCTGGGCTTTACAAGTACCAGGTTAACAACGGCGCGGTGAAATTTGGTGCGCGAGGTGTCTCTGCTTAGAGGAAGAGACCTCTGCCCTTAAAGACCCTCTGCCCCTAAACATTGATTATGAGAAGTGGAAAAAAGCAGTAGGTGAAAACTGGAATTAGGTAAATCAAGTTATGAGGCAAATGTGTGAAACGTTTCTTTTAAATAGTGACAATTTGAAACACAAGAGTGTTTAATTATTCCCTCATTCTTATAGCAGGTACACTTGATCTGTTAACTTTGCCACCTATTACAGTTTCTGCTCTGCCTGAAACAAATTCTGCCTCCTTTACTGTAAGCTCAGAGCACTCTTAGCGGTGATGTGAATCCTTTTTCTCTCGCAATGTCTGTGCTGTATTTTGAAGGAGGGATGACATTGTGAAATAGTACCTGCTTTTTGTTTTTGCAGATGATTTGGAGGATGCAATTCCAGAACATAATGAATTCCTTTTTCCGGAATATGAAATTCTGATAGAACCTGAGGAACCAGAATCTCCTTCCGATACCAGCATCGATGGTGACGATGAAGCAGCAGCTGCAGATGCATCAGAGAACTCAGGCGAACAAGAGGAACTCCAAGATACGGGCAGTGCGAGTAAGAAATGTGTGATGCTGTCTGACATTTTTCCAGGTGCAGCCTGCATTGTGTCTGTACAATGTAAAATACTGCGTTGAAGGGTTCATTGTAAACTGCCTGTGATGCGAGGCTCATCTGTGGTCATCCGTGATACAAACAAAATGCAGCTTCCATATCCAAGCTGTTTCTGTTAACCATAGCTTGTATATGTGCTGCTGTCTTGCACAAGTCTTGTATGTATCCTGTGACAGAAACTGCTTTTGCAGGGAGACTTGCTGGGCAATGGGTAGAGGAATGGACGGGTAGAGGAGGGAGGTTGAGTTAAACGGATTTGGCTTCATCTGGTTAAGCTTTAGGAAAAATATTTAACAAATATCTGTGCTGGAGGAAAGCTGCTTTGAGAAGGCATTAGTCAGGTAGTTGAAGTGTAGGCCCTTTCCCTAAAGTACTAATCATGTGTCTTCAGCTCCCCACCACAGAGGCGTTGCATGGAGATGGGGTGTAGGAGCGTGGGGTGTTGCAGAGAAAGCTGCTGGGTTCCCAGCTGGATCTTATGGAGCTCTAAAGCTGTCTAGAGACTCCACAGGGATGTGAGCAGGGATGTGCTGTGGCAGGGATGTAACAGAGAAGTGTTTCAGTGGTGGGAACTTCCCCAGTATGCGCAGAGCTCAGGTGTCTTCTCCGGGTGGGATCCACTGCTGCGGTAGCCCGTAATCTCTCGTGGGCTTTTCCTTGCTTAGGTGGAGGACTGCTATCTTTAGATGAAGAGACATTGGAAGCAATGGCAAAACATGAGACTGAAGACGACAAGATCTTCCAGAAGTTTAAGGAGCGAATAGCTGCAGAACCAGAGCAGGTCAGAAAACATGTGAACTCCTCTCTTCTGAATTCACATGTTCTGTGAAAAACGTTTCACTGCTTCACATACCTCCAGTTAGAGATGGCTGTGAGGATGCCTCATCCTCCTCCACATGCTTTAACCAATGTCTTTAACCACCCTTCTTTAGATGCAGAACTTGATCCATGGTAAAGAATTTGTCAGGATGAGCAGCACAGGGGCATTAAAGCCAAAATGAGGGCAGCAGCTGCTCTTCTGTAAAGTGTCTCTTGCAAAAGAAGAGGAAGTACCACTCTCCTCCCGCCACCTTCTTGCACTTTCCTTCTCACCAGAACTGCAGGGAAGAGCTGTGTGAGTCCCACCGTTTGGGGGTGAGGCTGGTACAGGTGTCATCATCTGACACGTGAGAGTTTGGCTTTTGAAAGGCTCACCTGAGTGAGTGAGCTTATGACTTGATGACTCAATTTTTCACGCTCCCCTTGCCCACTATCTTTTGCCACCACAGAACGTTTTAAAAAAATCAGAGTAAGAGAAAATACAGGTCTAGATCTACAAGAGTGGTGAGGAAAGAGATTCTTGCCTCCAGGTAAGAGACATTTTGGAAGCTCAGGGATTAGGGTGCACATTCAGAAAGCAGATTTTCATCCTGGTCTCTCCTCTACCTGGGGTGGGTTCATCGCCTGCTTCTTGTGATCCACATACTAGCTGATTTCCACCACTGTCCTCTTGTGGTTAATGCCCCAGTTTCTATATTAATATTTAAATAGTAACCAAACAACAGAGGGTATGAGTGTCTGAAAATGTTCATCTGCATGCATCTTACAGCTTTATGTATGTCAGTAAATACAATTTTTTGTACCGAGGTGAAAAAAGACAGCCTTGAGAACCTGAATTCCTGCTCCATTTCAGATTATTAGATACTGCAGGGGAGGAGAAGGCCCCATCTGGGTGTCAGGTGAAAATATTCCTGAAGAAAAAGATATCCCAAACTGCTCATGTGGTGCCAAAAGGATATTTGAATTCCAGGTATGTAAATTCATCTAAAGATAATCTAGGTAGTGTAGTTTAAATGTGACAGGTTCTAATTTTATAGACACTAGCTTATATAATGAGAGTGAGATAAAGTCATCACACAGTAACTACAGTTGCCTGTGTAATGACTGTTTACTAGTGTAACTGCTCTTGTAGGACTTTCACATATAGAAAGTAGGTTTTGATGCTGATAATTTGTCTGATCCATAAAATGGCGCACTTGTGGCTATGGAACCATCTTGTCAGTAATAGGAACCTGTTTTTTTTTTTCTTTTTTTTAAGAGAAAAAATATTTCAGGGTGTGACCTGGAAATATGCCTAGCTGGAAGTATCCAGGAACTTGGATACTAGAAGTGTCCATACAGGGAATACACTTCCTGTCATGAAAACACACACAAAAAAATAGTTACGAAGATGTTTTCCAATAGAAAGATTTGCTTCTAAATCCGACAATCCTTAGCCAAATGGAATTTCTATGGGAGAGTGCTTTAAAATAGATGCATGCTTTTAGTATGGCTGGTTGTTGCTCCTTAAATAAATAAGCAGAGCCATGCCTTTGATTTCTTGTGCACTGAGTACACTGCTTGAAGGAATCCAAATATATTTAGTTTGCACAGCCATATTATTAAATAAGTTTTGACTTACTTTTTGCACGTTGGTCTGACAGAACACGAATGAAGGCAGGGCTTCCTTAGGAGAAGGGAGACCCCTCAGAAGTGGGCAGTTAGTTGTGGCCTGTCTCTAAACTTGTGCCTCTCCCTGCAGATCATGCCCCAGCTCCTGAACCACCTGCAGGTGGACAGCCTTGGTGAGAGCATCGACTGGGGCACGCTGGCCGTGTACACGTGTGCTGAGAGCTGCAGCGAGGGCGGCGGGTACGCCGAGGAGTTCATATGGAAACAGGACTTCTCTGCAGGCTCCATCGAACTTCCATCCTGCCGCTGAGCTCAACCATCTGCATGTAATCCTGTTGCAGTGCATCCATGCACTTTGCAAGCAGCTAACTGGGCTGATGTCACTGGTATCTTGTAACAGTGATTAAAAAAAAAGAAAGAAAAGTGGACCTTGGCAGCTGCTTTCCTGGGCCCCAGTGGAACATTTTACTTCAGCCCGCTACCAAAAGCAGGTGCTTTTATTACAGTAAATTTCACCTCAAATCTTGCATCGTCTCAGACTGCATAGTTCTGAATGTTTAAATAAAGATGAAGCGTTCTTGGATGGGTGGAAGTGTCCTTTGTCAGTGGCTGGACTTTTAGAACTTTTAGAACTGTTGTCTGGCTTTGTGCTGCTCAAAAATCAACTCCCAGGGAAAGCAGATTACTGTGAGATCACAGAGGGCTCATGCTCAGGATGTGTAAGGTAGTCCTAGCTAACGTAAATCCAGGGTGCCTTGCCTTTCAGTACATAACTTAAATCTGAACTCTGTGCCTCAGAGTTAAATGCATCAAAACTGTTCCTATGAATGTTTTATCTGACTTGGGGACCAATAACGAAGTCTTAGCAATCTACTTCTACCTGGGATTGTCTGATGAAATAGTAATTTAAACCAAGGTTGCTGACGTAGAACATGGTTGTTGTTGCTTATTAGGTGTAGCAGCGTATTTTCAAGCTGAAACATCTGCCACCACTGGTGAAGTTGAAAAACAATTCTCTGCAGAGGTTGCTCTGGTATTTGACTGCCCGAGGGCTGAGGAACGAGAAAAATAAAAGCAGAACATGGAATTTATGGGGACTATTGCTTAAGGGTTCATACGGCTATAGCTACACTTAGTTGAAAAGATCAAGCTCTTTTTCTGGTCTCAGTGTAATATCTATTTACATCAGTTCCTTTTTTCTCTTACCCTGCTCATGTGATTCCAGTACTGATTTTACATAAGTCTTAAGCCCACTCTTGTTTTATGACTGTTTCCATTGTGACTTCTAGGTTGTTTTATTTCTGTCACTTTAGATGGTGCAAATGCCCCAATGAGCAGGCAGAGGATGCTTGCAGCACAGGCTGTCTGGTCATCCTAAAACTTAAATTTCTAAAATGGTGGTTTTAACACACAGTGCAGTTAACAGACATATGTAGCTCTACCACAGCTCAGCTGACTGTGATGAAAACCAGCCGCCAGCTACTTAAGGCTCAAAAAGTTCCTGGCAAAGTTTGCAAAATTTTGCGAATAGTTGGTTGCCATTGTATTGGTTAACATTTGGAGTTCTACAAAAGCAGGGCCAGACACTATTGTCATGTTTATCTTCACTGCCTCAAACAGCACAAACTACTGCAGCACCTGAATATGCATCATCTTTGGCATCTTGAACTTATCCTGCCAAAGGTAAGTCTTTAAACACCACCCTTCTGGTGGGATCAATGCAACCAATTAAAAAGACCAGTTCAGAAGCCCAGTCACATCTGTGTATGCCACTGCAGGGAAGAAAAGGCAACTACAAGAACTAAGTTCCCTCAGGGTTTGCAAATAGAGGGGGTGCTAGGTCAGCCATAGGTTCACCTTGTCTGGGATAAAGCACAGATTTTGCAAATTAAAGAGTGTGGTTACATTTGGGTTAGTTCTAGATAAAAGCTGAAAGAATGTGAAAGTCACAGAAAGGTTACTCTTACTGGAAATGCACTTTAGGGGAAAAAAAAAAAAGAAGAGAAAAAGGGCTATTTATTTTTAGTTCTCAGCCTGTTAGGCTTCAAGCACAGATCGAAGGGAAGATTATGTACAAGCTGACTGTTTGTAAGGGCTTTTGACATTTTACAGGAACACTTACTATACTGAGATTGCCATAGTTTGTAAAATACAAAGGCAGTAATTTAAAGAAATCCTAGAAGCTAAGCAGAAGTCCCCTGTTCCAATTCAGTTACACACAGCTATTTATGACTTGCATTAATCCCTCTGTTGAAGCAGTATGTACTTAAACAGCAAACTTCTTGATACTTTAATCTCCTTTACTTCAAGAACTGAGAAATTTTCAAGCTAGATGTTGCCAAGGATATGACTGCGGGTAAGCAAGCTGGGACACTGTTAAGGTCCTCCCTAAATGACAAGTCAGTTACAATAGTGCATGTGCTATTGAAAAAAAAAATCTGGATCAAATAAAAAAATGTTCAAAGTATTTCACTCTAATATTTTAAAATTCATTAAGACAGTTCTGATACTTGTATAAACAGGGTTTATTGTACATGTGGGGCTGAAGGGGTGGGGGGAAGAGGAAGTATATATATATTATATATGTACAGTGAACCATTTTCATTAATAAATTTATTCTGTCTTGCGTAACGCTGGAAATAGGGAATGTGTCTGGCACCCAAAAAGATTAAAATTGAAAAAAATTTAAAAACTTAAAATTCTGAAAATTATAAAAACGATGGTTTTACGGAGGAAGTTAAAACGTATATACATGGCAATTCAAGTGGTTTATATGCTGAGTGACATGGTTGCGTTTGTCTTCCAAACCAACTTAAGGATTTTCTATTAGAACTGGCATTAAAACTATTTAAAAGCTAGATTATAAATAAAACTTGGAGGGACTGCTCCAAGAACAGCCCTGTAAAGCAACTCACAGTAACTCAGTAGACGTTATCGATAATACAATTCCCCTAGAGTACCAGGGAAATAGGCACTAACTGGGAAACAGTCCAAGTCCTGGTGTTGCAGTTTCAGTGAATGTCCATCTCTTGTTACTGCTGTGCCATACGCAATACCTTTTAAAATGTACCCCCGCTTTCTCCAAAATTTGTAGAAACTGTTACGTTGTCTTTCTGAATCCCTTTAAAATAGGATAGATGTTTTCAAACGCTTCATAGATTTCTGCTCGGACTTTAGCACCTAGAGAAAAAAGGGAGTGAAGTTACTCCGTACCTTTCTCCAGAGTCAAATACTTAATTTTAGTGTTCACAGTGCTTACCTGAATGCTTCATCTTAATGTAAACCCTATACATTTACATATGTATAAACACAGACATTTATATGAGTCCCTGTTTTTACTGATACACTGTCCACTCATTCTGTACAAGCCATGCATTATCAGCCTTCTCACGGTGTTTACTTTGATTTCACTAGCATTTTGGTGTGAATGCTGCACTTGCAAATGCCATGTTCCTATGCAGAAGTTCTCGAAGAGCCTTGACTACAAAGCAGGGCCCCACGGGATCTTTCCAAAGAAAGGCCTTTGACCTGTGGAGGTTGTTCCAAGAGTACGAGCATTGGGAACAACATCTGGAAACAGAGGCGGTGTCAGAGACGTGCGGCTCGCCCTGCTCCTCAGCACCATCACTTCCAAGGGAAAGCAACTAGCAAGACACACACTTTAGATACTACTGTGTAATATAGTCTAAATCTGACCTACTGGAATAAGATACTGCCGACTTACCAGTTAAAACCACTTTTCCAGAAACAAAAATAAGCAGAACAATTCTCGGCTTGATCATTCTGTAGATTAAGCCAGGAAACAATTCCGGCTCATAGCTGTAAGAGAAGAGAGCGACATAAACCCGCTAGCAGATAGATGTCCCAGCCACCTGCTGCACTACAGCAATGCACAGAGCAGATGCAGGCTACAGAAACATATGGGTTCACATTGGCAACATAATTGCACCAGATGAAAGGCAGTGATGGAAGTAATGATGCTGATTTCCCTCTGGTGCAAGGGGACAGTCTGAACAGATGTCGCCTTCTAGTTGACCAAGCATACAGCAAGAATGAAACATAAGCAAACCTTTATTTACCTCCTGAACTGCTGGTGTGTAAGTACCAATCCTTCTAATCTGATGGGAAATTTTACATCACAGCTCCCCACCATGTTCTGAATTTTAAAATCCAAAAATTTTGCTGGAAAACCCAATTTCTGGACAACTCTAGCATACTTCCTTGCTGCCAGTCTGGACTGCTCTTCACTGAAGGGAGAAAAGAATATCCATTTTATTCCATTAGTATTACTTGAAACAAACTGCATTGATCTACAAATATTTTACTCTGTTAAAATGTGATCCTCCCCACTGCACCGCTCAACAAGCCAAGTTTTTACATTTAAAATTAACAACTAGGACTGATTCGTATTGTAATTTTGATACTAAGATCCTGAATGTATTGTAATCGCTGTCTACATTGTATACGTATACACAGATATATGTCTATGCAATAAGGTACAAAGGCATCATTTACACTCTTTACGCTCTTAGAATATCTATCTGAGTCCCTCTAGTAAGCCAAAATGTTTTCTTCAGTGTAGAACAACCTTGAGCTACTGCTGGGAAATGCATGTTCCTACAGAAAAGCTGTGGACTCCTCTGCCTTTCTCAGGCGAGGCACTCGAACCCAGTTTATCACAACTGCACAGCCTCACTGGCTTTGGCAGAATTCAGTTTGCTTCAGTTTTGTAAACAGCTGAAAAACTCTGCTTGGTTTTCAGCAGCACAAGATAATTTAAACTTCAAGAGTCATCAGGGAGAGAAATAGGGAGAGAAACTCTATGGCCCTGTTCATTCCTCATAACCTCTGCTCTGTTCCTTTTGGATGCCTGAATGAATCCACGTGAAAGGAACAAGGATCAGAATTTCTCTCCTGCCCACTGGAGTTAAGTTTATGGTTGGCTTTCAAAATGCTTCACTGATCATGTTAAAAACAGATCAGACTACAGGGACCAGAGACTTGGATCTCCTGACAAAGTAATGAATTGGGAGGCAGCATGAGCATAAACAACAGTGTTTCCAAACCACCAGCCACAGCAGAAAGACAGTCTGAAGGCAGCAGCGTTCTTGTAACAGGCTATGCATACCTTTTTGCTCCCGTGCACACCATTTTTCCAGAGCTGAATATAAGTGCAGTAGTACGAGGTTCTCTTATTCTCATGATAACAGCAGCAAAACGCTGAAATGTGAAAGTTGACACTATTAGTGATATATTGCTGCAATCATTTGCATATTCCAAATCTGTATATTTTCAGTAGCATTTGATATTGTATTTCTCAGAAATACTAAATCCAAACATACTTAATGGATCATGTATGACTGGAATATTTCAAGTAGCTTCCACTACACACACTTTGAGGTAGGGTCGGACATGACAGGTATTTCCCATTACATTCCTATTTTACTAAGCTCATTTCTCATTATTCTACACGCAACATATAAATAATGCTAGTGTCTGCAACATAGAGAAGACATCTTGAGAAGCCTTTCTCCCCACGTCCTGAGATTTGTTGTGTTGTGAGCAGGATGAAGGAGTACATGCAAACGTCTTACGATCTACTCTGTGTCTTAAAAAACTGGGCAGTGCTACAACACTGCTAACAGAACACCTGGAAATGAAACTCAGAAGCCACATTCATTGGAAAAGGAAGCCACTGGAACTGCGGCAGTAAAACACAGCAGCCCAATTTGCTTCGGTTTTTTTTTCCACTTTAAACATCTCTACCTCCATTTATTCTCAAACTCAATAAAAGCTGGAGATGCTAAAAACGAAGCTGGGTGTATACACACACACACACACCCGTTTGCCTGTTATATTTAACGTAGACCAGTTCATCATGTAGCCCCATAAACTCTTCTGCTGACATAATTATGACAGTAACGTGGGCTACCTAACACCACACTTGTCAAGCTATGGCTCAAGTGATACAGTCAAGCAGCATCTTTTCGACAGCTAAGTGTACTGACTAAAAGTCAGGCGTGCATTACATAATCCTTCTCTCCCCCTGCTGTGGAAAACAACATTTCATATTGATCATTCAGACTCGTTCTTTTGCTGCACTCAAATCTCCCTCACATTCCATTATGTAACAGCATCATTGATATAAACTTTATGGTACGGCACAATTATTTCTTACATACACCTGCATGCAGGCCCTTAATCATTTGAGGTGAGTTCAGATAAACTGTAGCAAGATCCTACATTATTAAAACTAAATAAAACGAGAAAATAATCATACACCCCAAAAAAAGGCAAGCCAATTCGATTACGCAGCATCTAAACTTTCATTAAAACCAATGTCTAATAGCTGTGGCTGGAAATGTAACTATCCAAAGAAGAACCAAGTGAAAGAAAAATGAAGCAACATTATTTTTTTGATTCAATTCTCCAGGGCCTCTGCTGCTGCTGACTTCTACACAGTTAAATTTACCCCCTCCAATTTAGTCGTCAGTGCTCCAAAACCACCGTTTGAAACAGTGGACACCTTGGAAACAGACAGGCCAAGCCCAGCTTCCTTTTGCTCCTGCGCCGAGCACAGCCGCCGCGGGAGCGCTGCGGGCCACACGAAGCGGCGCTCAGAGGCGAAGCCGGACTCACAGCCGGGACCGCGCTGCAGCCACCAGACTCCCACGGAGCCGCCCGCAGCAGGAGCCACCGCACACCAAACAACCCTGGCTCTGGCAGGAGAACAGAAACCAAATTCCCTTTCTCCTTTTTAGGAGGTAGATAACTTCAGGCATTTCAGGCTGGTATGAACCGTCTGACCACAGATAACAGGTTCATGTGAGTAGCAGGTGAGGTGAGCTCTGTATCCAAAAACTTTGGCTATGTATTACACTGTCAGTTAGCTTCTTCATAAATGCATTATGTTCTTTCTGCTTCCTACTAATTTGAAGAATGGTCTAAGGTTATCAAAGATCTTTTTTAAGCAGCAGTACAAAACTACATTCATAGGAGGATGTTTTTTCAATCTAGCTATGACAGCAAATTATGCTCAAAACCTATGCCTTTGCCGTATCTGCTATAGGGGGAAATTCTTCTCTTACCTTGGGGTTATATTCAGCATTTCGGGCACGAAGTGCAATGGTTTTTAGGTCAAGTTTGCAACCAAGATTAACCGTGGACACAATATTCCTGAAGACAGTTCAGAGAAATGTATTAATTAATAATTTTTTTAAAAAAATATAAGCTTTTTACATTTTTAACCATGTACAATTTGTTTTATCCAAGTGCGACACTGGGCAGTCTTTTGGCTCAGGTTGTACACCTTTTCTAAAGCATTTGCTCCTAAAGCACAATTGCCAATCCCTCCTGTTCTGCCAACTATTATTAAAAGTGCCTTGTGAGACAAATCTGCACTTCCGTTTGGCAAGAGAAACTCTTGAGATTGAGAATCCCCATCACAGTCAGGGGGGTTGCTGGGAACAGGAAAAAAAATGAGGCAGCCATAACATTATCTGAAAATTTCCTTGCTATGCTCTTTAAAGGGGAAGAAAGTCAGTATCCTGAGGGGTGGAAGACTACAAAGGAATGAGTAGCCTTGAGTCGGGTTGACTACACAAGCAAGGCCCATTGCTGTGTGACACAAATATGGTCTCTAGGAAACCTAAGATCTTTGGAAAATCATTTTCTAAGTAAACTCTGCAACCTAAAGGTCCTTAGTGGAGTAAAAACTAGGGACCACTCTGCCACTGCAAAGCTGAGCCTGACTGTCTTTTGGCCTTCCATAATTTGACACACAGGTCTCTTTATAGCTAAAGCTCAGTGAAAATATTTTGATAACTGAACCTACAATACTAGTTCTGGTGCTTTTCCCCAATCGCACAGCTGTGGCAATGAACTAGAAAACAGTGTGGATTATTAAGGACACTTTCAGCTCTAGTTGCTACACGGTTTCTTCCCCTCTACTCTTTCAGCTTTTCTTCAACTATGATCGCTCATGTATTCAGTTTAATACCTAGAGTGCACTAAGCTAAAGGTCAGACTCTGCTAAGACCTGTATGACATTCCACACTTGGGCATTTAAATAAGGGATATCTTACAAATCGCTAAAAAGCTGCTTCGATTACTAACCACCTTAGTAACAGACGCTCAGCTTAAAAAAAGTACTCATATATTAAAGCAGACCCATAAATGACTTCTGAGGACCCTTCTTCCTGCCAAGACACGGTACCCAGTTCCTGCCAGGGCCCGGCCCCAGGTCCTTAGAGGGCTACCGAGCAAGGACAAACCGCGCCGGGATCCGCGGCACTCACTGCAGCTGCGGCACGATGCCGGAGCTCTCGGACGCCGGCGTTGCAGGAGTTATAGGAGTCATGGGCGTCATGGGAGAGGGGTAGAGCGGGGTGGTTCCTGGCAAGGGGGCCGTGGTGAGAGTCTGTGAATGGAAGAGCTGGGGCGCCTGGCCGGCCGCTGCCTGCGCGCCTTGCTGAGACGTGGACTGCTGCGCCGCTTGCTGCTGCTGCTGCTCCTCCAGCAGGGACAGGCTGTTGGTGCTCTGGACAGGCTGCGGGGTCAGGCCTGTGCCGTACGGCATCATCGGGCTAAAGATTGGAATTCCCGGAGTCATGGCGCCCTGCCGAAGATAATGTTAAAAAATAAACTACGGATCCTAGGGGCTTCACTTCGTCTGCGAGAGAAAATAAGCTTGCTGAAGGAGTCTATGAATACATCGTTATGGTTGATCATATCAAAGCAGAGGCACAGTGATTCACTAAAAACAAAAAGCCCCTAAAAATACAGTTCTTGCATAAGATGAAACCCTACTTCTGCTGATCTCACCAATTCGGTTACTGCTCTCCAGCAGCCAGCAACGCCGGTGCATTCCTCACTCATACATACTCCATCCTGACCCACTGTTTTTACTTGCAATTGTTTGAATGAAGACACTACCTATGATACCAAGTGTATCCATATCACAACCACATGCATAGGAGGCTATGTCATGGACCTAACTGAAATGGTTTCATGCCCAACCACCAAGATCAATATTTCTAACTTCTCACTCATGTTTCAGCTCAAGGAAGTCCCATATGCTTGCACATTTCTTAAAACTCTGACTACATGCATTAATGGTTTTAAATTTTGGTTTTACACTAATATCATTCTGTATCTATGCTTTTTCAGATCTGTAAGCACAAAAGTTGTAGAGATTACAAGCAAGAAATAGACACTTTCACAAAAAAATTCAGATCACAATTGCATACTAAGTCCTTCACTTTTACCTGAGGGGAGGCTAAGCCTTGAGCATACGGTGGCAAGCTGTTGTTCTGATCCATGATCCCAGCTATTTCTTTGGTGATGCCAGAAATATTTCCTTCAATCAATTAATTACAATTGTGGCAAACCCTAAAGGGTTTTAACCCTTTAAAGCATTCCAGCAAAGTCGGTTTTCAGCCAAGCTTGAGGCGTTAGGAAAACATCTGCTCCAGAGAAACTTGTGTTGACAGTTTAAAATACTAATCAAAACCTGGAAAGAAAAAGTAGCACTGTGATAATAAAAAGCAAACTTATCAGCTGCTCTGTTATCTAAGAGATATCCATGTATGTATATATGTACACCAATATATATGCACATGCAATTTGCAGAATACCCTCTTTCTGGAACATAAATGGACCTTTGCAATCTGCTACTATTGCAGTCCCCAGGAAGGTAACCTGCCTCACATGAGCAGACCCTGAGGATCCAGCAGGACACACAAAGGTTTGTGGAGCTGAACCCTCACCTCCAAACAGCTCCAAGCATCTCCAAACACTTTATTTGGGATAACTGCATGCACTTTATAAAAAAGAAAACTGAAAGTCAATTTAGGGCATACTTGTGACACACGCATACTTTTTGTATTCTTTTAAACATGAATTAACTTCTGCCTCCACTGCAGTACTACAGAAACAAACAACAGACATAGACAATTTAAGAGTTATATCTTGCTAGAGATTTTTTTTCCATTAACTTTTAGCTTTCTATTACACAGAAATATTCAAGGTCATTCTTAGGTCTGACTTAGACCACTCAAAACTCTGGGAAAAAAAAAAAGAAGGGAAAAAAAAAAGGAAAAGACAACTGCTTCCTTTTTTTTTTTTTAAGGTTCGGAGCTCACAATTGCATTAACAGAGGAGCATAGCTAAAAAGACGAGATTTTTTCCCAACCAGGACCCCCCGCATCACATTTACCCGCTGAAGGCGCCACCAGCGCGGCCAAACCCCCAGCGCGGCGGTGGCGGTGGCGGCGGCGGCGGGAGGGAGCCCGCGGCGTCACG